TTTTAAGGAAAATCCATACCCCATGGTGGTCCAATCACCTCACCCTAACCCCTCTGGAAATTCCATTTTATCTTCTTACTTTCCTTTAAAATTGGCTTTTGAAATCTCTTTCCTCCCTCAGATTTTAAACATTCCTCAGGGTGGATATGGGTATTTGTATTTCTTTCTCCTCCCTTGACAGGAGATACTAGTCCATTGCATCCCCTTCACTTCCCTACATTTGAATTCTCCATTTATACCCTTGGGCTAAGAGAGGCAATGTCAGAGTGAAGTGTCTTGTCAATTCAATGACACCAGGCCGGCTTTTTTACAACGTTACTGAGTGTTAACAGTTTCCATGCATTTTTTTTTTCTTTCATGTTTCAGTGGAATGTTTTCCAGTACCCTTTTCAGCGGCGTGTTATCAAGGCAGTCCAGTTCTTGCGTGAAACAGGAAGGAAAGTAATTGAAGTGAGAAAGAATGCAATAAACAAAGGAGAAGAGGTCCCCGATGATATATTACAGCATATTATTCAGCAACAAGGTTTGCTACCTTTTACCTGTTGCTTATCTCTTTTGTGACCAGGTGTCACATAGGGTCTTTACAGAGCGCTCCATACTTCCGCGTATGATCAGCCGCTCGTCGTACCTCGGTTCAAGATTTCCAGTCCGCTTTGTTAAAACTTTTCTCCAGAGTTCTTTGGTCATTCTCTTCTTCTTCTCCCCTCGGGTGCCCAGATCAATGTCACGTTACAGTCATTTGTGTGGTCCAGTCCAGGGCCGTAGTATATGGCCAATCAGCTTTCATCTAATTCTCCGCTTCATTTCTTTATCCAGTGGTTTTTTTTCAGCTCAGTCTTTCCAAAAGCTCTTCGGTGCTGACATGTCACAGTTTATGTGACTTAATTGCATTGATAGCTCCATAATTCCAGTACTTGATGTGTCTTCGTACGGGAATCTCTCAGTGAAAGCTAAAGGAAACTCTAAATGCTTCAAAATATGGAACAAGTGGACTTTTTCTTGAAATAAACCGTCGATAACTGGAGCAACGATTTCAAAAAAAGCCCGACATCCACTGAACTGATTTGAGTAGTGAATAACAATCACTAGTAAATATCCATACCGGCTGATAGTTGGAAAATCGTGAGTTTCCTAAGAGTGTAGCTTTGTTTTGTTTTATTTTGTTTTTTCTTGTTCAATTATCGAAACAATTTTTTTCTACAGAGGTAGATCCAAACCTTGGAATGGAGGACATGTTGGATGATTTTCTGTCTTTCTTTATTGGTGGTAAGACACTATCGATGTAACTGTAGTTCAATCAGCTAATTATATAATTTGGCTTTCTTTTCGCCCTTTACAATAGTCACGTGTTTTTACGTTTCCCACACTTTTTTAATGATCAGGGTCGACCAGGAGGCCGAATTCGGTTCAGCTTTTCCGGCGCTTTACACCAGCGTCTATGGTTGACCGTTCGGATTTCACCAGCGTCTATTGTTGGGCCTTTCTCGCGCTTTACACCAGAGTTTATGGTTGAGCTTTTCCCGCGCTTTACACCAGCGCCTATGGTTGGACTTTTCCCGCGCTGTTCACCAGCGTCTATGGTTGGGCTTTTCCCGCCCTTTGCTTATTTCTTTAGAACACCGATTTTTGCTTTTCCTTTCGTTATACACTAGTTACTAAATGGTTTCGTTTTTCCCCACACTCTACATTAGCTCTCATTTGTCATTTCAGGACACGAGACTACAGCCAGTTTGTTGTCGTTTTGTGTTCTTGAGCTAGGAGACCATCCTGAGATATTGGAGAGGTGACATTGCTTAGACAAACATTATTCGTGTTCCTAAAAGAAATGTCTTTCTCGCACTCGGAGGTACTGTATTCTTCGCAAAAAGTCGCCCATTCTATTTTTTTATATTTGTATTTGACTGCTTGCTTAAACAGTCCTTAAATCCACAAATTTATGAATAAATAAATGAAATGTGAAAGCCTCAGAGATATTTTTGTTCTGTACTATGACTTTGTGGCTGTGGAGAAGTAGAATGCAGACTGTATTGAAGTACAAAAATAATTCTCTTTCATTTATTGCTTCTTTTGTAGTGTGCTTGAAGAGGTGTTTGATGTGCTGGGAGATAAACAGAATGTTGCGTTTGACGACCTGGCTAAACTGCACCAGCTAGGACTGGTAAGGTGTTTTTTTTAGTGTTTTCATTTACAGGAAAATAAATATTTTCAACGTCCTTTCCTTTCCGTTCCTTTCCTTTCGTTTCCTTTCCTTTTCTTTTCCGTTCCGTTCCGTTCCGTTCCGTTCCGTTCCGTTCCGTTCCGTTCCGTTCCGTTCCATTCCGTTCC